AGTTTTGTATCATTACAAATAACAAGAAAAAGCAAAGAGATAATCATAAACTTCGTAGCCACGCTCAATTAAGGCAATGTATTACTAGACCTACGCTAAAGATAACTTTAGCAAGGCTTTCTTTATGAATTAAAGAAATTTTATACACTTTGCCAGCTGGTGAGAAAGCTTATGACTTTTAATAATTCAATTTTATCCTAAAAAACCTAGAATGTTTGCGAGAAATAATAACTAATGTCATATTATTTATATTTGCTGTTTTTGTTATTTTGTGATGGCTAAGTTGGGCATCATAGATTTGTCTGTTTATTATTTTGAAGAGTATAAAAGAAAAAAATGCAAAGAAAATTAAAAAAAAAAAATAGTTTATTCGTGTTAAAAATAGTTAAAATAGTTTAACGTGTTATATCAATTTTCATATCTTACTATCTTAAAATTAATGTCACGTGTATCACATGATATAATAAGATATAAACTGATAGACGCAGTTCAATGACGGATAATCTTTAAAAAATAAGTTTACGTTCTTGTCCTTCTTTCCCATAATTCCTTTCTCTCTTTCTTCTTCGTTAATTTCTTTTTCATAACTTTAATGAGCTATGGTATGAACAACTGACAAAAATTAAAGAAAATGAACAATGTTCCAAATGGCTTAAAGTTGAGGTTCAACTGAGAATGAACTGAACATTTCCGTAAATAGAACTCTCTTAGGTGATTTCTTTCTTATTTTTATCAATTTTTGGATTTTTTTTTGTTTTATTTACCACTAATTTTTTTTTTTCTTTCTATTTTTCATAGAAAATTTTTTCCAAGCGAGCCTATGATAGCTGGACTTGGAAATTAGTTTATAAACCATTTGATTAGGCTACTAAAGAAAACAAAAGTAAAAAAAATACTTTGCAATAAAACAAGAATCGGGTAGTTAGTTTGTTTTAATAGTTCATTATTAGTGTTAGAAATTAATTTTATTTTTTATTTTTTAAAGGTAACAGAGAATCTTTGTTCAGATAATTAGTAGTTTTTGGGGATAGAGTTTCTATAAAAAATGTATTAAATGTTCCTTCTTTTTTTTTTTTTTGTAGGTAACATTCTCTGGAGAGACTTTTGGACAGTAAGTAAAATTTTTGGAGGAAAGGTTTTGCCATTATCTATGAGAAACGTACTAAATTTTCCTTTTTTTATTTTTTGTAGGTAATGACTTTGACTGTGAAAGACTTTTGGATGGTGAGTTATTTCTTTTGAGAGAAGTTTATTATTTATCTATAAGAAACGTCTGACGCTTTTTTTTTAATCTTTATAGGTCTATATTTCAGACTCCAGTAGGCTATTTTAGTTCAGAATTGACTTTAAGAAACCTATTTTAAAAGAATTTTATTAACAAAACTTTTATTTTTTTTATTTTTTTAGCCTTAGGTTAACACATTTTTTAGATGGCTGATATGGCACTTTAGATCTTTGAAGCAGAATTTTGACAAGTAAAGACAAAGAAGTTTTTCTCTTATTTTGATGTGGGATTTTTTGACACATGGACTTCTGGTAATTCTTTTTTAAAGTTCTTTTTTTTTTTTGATTTAATGAAAGAAAAAGTTGGTTTTAAATTATTTTTTAACGAAATTTTTAAACTTTTTATTTTAATACCTAACAACTTCATTTTTCGTTATTATTTAGATGAATCTTTGGCTTTTTAAATGCTGGTTTTGGTAAGATATTTTTTTCTTTAACGTTAACAACTAAATGATTACTAACTTTTTTTTCTTTTATAGACAGACTACTTGCTCTTTGATTTCCAGGGATATCTTTGAACATGGATTTCGTAAGTTTGATTTTTTTCTTTAATTTTTTCTTTTAACAAATGAATGATCACTAATATTCATCATCTTTCTTTTTTCAGATAGTCAGTTCTTTGACTCTTTAAACGCATGAAAAACTGGTGAAGATTTTGTTTCTAATTATGCATTTCAATGAAACGTTTTTACTAACATTTCAATTTTCTCTTTTTAGACGGTCTAGATCTCTGAATCAAATGTTTAGGATCTTATAGAAAAAGGAGTTTGAGTTAGAGATCATAGGCTTTCTCACCAGCTGGCAAGGTGTATGAAATTTCTTTTAATTCATAAAGAAAGCCTTGCTAAAGTCATCTTTAGCGTAGGTCTAGTAATACATTGCCTTAATTGAGCATGGCTACGAAGTTTATGATTCTTAAATAGAACTTATGTCAAGTATCTTATTATGCAATGTATTGTTTTTTAATTCTACAATGCATTTAGAGGTGTTAGCGAAGTTTCTTTATAATATACATAAAATTTATATAAAATTTATGATAATTTATTGTATTTATTGTTAATATTTTAGCTGTATATTTGCAAATATGAGCAGAATTTCATTAACATTTCTTTATAATGCAAACAATTTCATTTTAATATGTTGTAAATTTAAATGATGTATGAAGATGTTTTATTGCAATTTAAAATACATTTATATAATGGAAACTTGCAAATTTCAAAAGACATATACACTTCATGGAAATTGGACAAGTTTACAACTAATTTCTATGATATACATTTTAATTGGATTCAATTGAAATTATTAGTAAATCAACATGAAATGTGACATGTGTGCAAAATTTCTCTGATGTAAATATATTGCATATCACCTCACTTTGACCAGTGTATTGAACTAGTGTTATAATAAATCAATAATTTTAACAACTTTTCAGAAAACAGATTCTTAAAATATGATAATGGTGTTAAGGTTGGTTGCGTAAGTAATGATTATTATATATTGAATTACAACCTTTAGCAGTTGTTATATTATAAACATAAGCTGTAAATTGGCTGTAAATACAGATTATTGTGGTTGGCTAAAAGTTGGTAATTACCATTATATTTAATTGACTTTTGGACTTACAACTATTTATGGAGACAAACACTAAATGGTATATTAAGAGAGATAAAATGTCTATATATTCATTCAATCTATAAGCATATGTTTAACTTCATAGTATATAAAAGTATAACATTATTGTAATTTGCTTTATAATGTAAAACCATATAATTTCTAAGAACAAGATAAAATTGGTGTTTAGAACAAAAAAAATTAGAATGAAATTTTTAAATATAGAAAAAATAGTAGCAATTATGGATTTATGGTAGTATGGGATAAAAATTGACATTGGAGAATGATTATAGAGTTAATTTAAGTTCCGTCAAATAATAGAAAGCTCAATATCCTCCTTTATTAACAACAAATCTTACATTTCTTTCTTATGATGTATACGAAAATCCCAATATCCCAGTTACAAATCCCTATTTTGGAAAAAACGGCGGTATATAAATATATGTTATAAGAAGATGATGAAGGATCCAGGAAATATTTAGTGAAACATACTATATTACCATATTAAATTGAAAAAGACTATTTGATGATGTTGATAACATAGAAATGTGGCTCAATATTTTATATAAGGCTTTAGAGTAGTTTATAAAATAATATAAAATTTTTCATGTTAACTTACGTTAATATTTATATATATTTAAATTATATAATATCAAATTAATCAACAATATTCATTTTTATACTGTAATTCATGATCATCTTACTTTTCTTCTTTATTATAAAAATTGTAAAATTATGAAACGCTAAATAATATGTCTTATATTTCTTTTATATGAACCATTATACCCACTGTGTAAATTATTATTCCATATCTATTGTCAGAATTTCACAAATGTTACATATTTATGCTCATGTGGGCATATTCTTTCTCATATAATTTATACCAATACATTTTATGTATTGACAAAACTGCACCTATTTTATTTTATTGGACTACAAGCATGAACTACCCAGTTGCGCCGACGATAGTTCGCGATCACGTGACTTTAACTAATTATGTCGCATTGTCGCATCGCTTTTTGTGATGACTGAATTTTTTTATTGCTGCGTATATACAATAGTCCCTTTATGATCATATATATCATAAATGCTTCATATAAAAAAAAAGTCTAAATTAATATTCTCTTAATTTTCTTCGCTACAATGACAGTATCACTATTGCAAATGATGATTTATACTATTTTAACAATTGTACTTTTGAATTTAATTCTTTATATTAATAAATCTTATTTGATCATATCGAAAATTTAAAAATGCCATCGTATAACTAGAGGTTGGAACCGTCCAAAAAAAGCCTTAACCGGTAAAAATCGGTTAACAAAGGGCTTAATCGGTTAATTAACCGGTTAATATGAAAAATATTTAAAATATTTTAAAAAATTTTTTACTGAAAATTGTACCAATTTTCGATTTTACTAACACATTTAGTTTGAAAGAAGATTATTTTTTCATCAATAACATTATTAATAAATAGGAAAAATTCGGTATTAAAACTTCGAGTTTGGCTGAAATTACCAAGTCTCTGGGCCGCATTAAGTAAATCTGACCAGAATTATGGATTTATAGTCAAAATAGTTTTAACCGGTTAACCTATGTCTTAACTGGTTAACATTAACCGGTTCCAACCTCTACGTATAACTATAAAATTTTAATACGTGATTCTTTGGAATAATAGAATTATAACAATAGATGTAACGCGATCATCATTTTTTTTTATTTGCATGATCGCGCGTATAATAGTTCTTCTATATTTCAGCTCATCGGTTGTCTTTTTGAAGGAGACAAATTTAAAACCGAATATTAAATGCTTTAAGAAAAAAAAAAATTTTATAGAATTCTTTAATTCATTTATGATCATCGATAAATTATAATAATGAAGTAATTTATTTGTTTCACATTCTTGTGAATCTCGTTATTTTATTTATTTATTTTTTTTTTTAAAAAAAAAAATAAAATAAATTGTGTAACAAATGTAAACATATCTATTTTTAATAAACTCGATCATTTTATTATTCACTACATTAATTAAGTTATTATATAATAAAATAGTAAATTATAATAATAATAATAATGACACAAAAAAAAATTGTGTCGTTTTTTTTTTTTGTTTTTATTAATTACATTAAAATATATATATATATACATTAAATTATATAATATTTAAAAAAAATATATACCATTCTAAGAATGATTTTCATTCTTCTCACGAGCCTCGACACGCAATTGTTCAAGTATTAATTTGATTTCATCAAGGGATTGTTCTAAAGTCTCTATTTTATTTTTTGTCTTATCATCTTTAGAATCTTTAGAATCTTTAGATTCATTAAATGGCCATTCTTTCTCCTTCAGTTCTATCATCTTTTCCCATTCTGCACTTTCCGCTTCGGTAACATTGTATGTAAACCATGTCGGAAACCAGTCAACACGGTTTCGTTCCCAAGGCGTTAATAGGTATTTTTCAATATCGACAATCATTTCGGAGACTTGTTTGAGCCATTTAATTTGACCCTAGAAAATGTAAAAAGTAAGGTCAGCCATCATTACATAATTTCACGTTCACTATTGATTCAAATTCAAATTTTGTTCTTACCTTCTTAGTTATAGATTTGACATGCAAATTCAATAATACAATGAGCATACTGAGAAATAATAAAGATATCAGGATTATAAACAAAATTCGGAAAAATTGAATTGAGGCTCTATCATCCCATGGTTTAAGAGAGTCAAAATCGTTCCCGAGAAATTTTATCATTTCCACTAAAGCTGATCCAAAATTTACAAAGCTATTTGTTTTACTATCAGAATTACTTGTTTCATTACGAAGTATGAAGAAAGGCATAAATGCGAAGCCAAAAAGTAGAGTGGTCAATAATATCAAAAATCCAAAAATTTCTTTGACCATATCTTTTAATACAATCAGCAGAACGCCTACTGGTTTATAAAAACGAAATTGTAATATCATGTCTGCCCATATAATGGCGGTCGAAAATCCAATAAATTCTCCTGATGGTGGTTTATCGCTTAATACTCTAATTATCATTATAAAAGCTAATATAATAGCGGTAAGATCAATGTAGTTAATAAATGATTTCCAATATTTTGGTCTGGTTGCTAATTGTATTGATTCATGTAGTCCAAGGTATATGATGACAATTAATTGTAAAGATGCGGTAACTTTCGCACCATATACATTGCCTTGCGTCATTAAAATCCCACTCAATAAATGCATCAATAAATTTATAAGCATTGGTATCAATAGACGCTCTAAATACCTCCTCTTTGCGAAAGTATCGAGCTTCCAATTCAGTAACTTTTTAAGCCAGATTATTTCGAAAAAGTCGAGCATCAGATCCTCATCTTTTATATCCAGAATCTCATCAATTAAACAAGAGAACGGACTCTCTGCAAATGAATGATGTGGTTTTGCCTGATTGGAAATCAATGTAGTAACTTGACCGAGAGAAAGCATGGCCATTTGATGTAAAGAGTTATGTCGCGAGTCTAATTTGTAATTCCATTTTGGAAGCTTAAAAACTTCATTCTTATACGAACAAAATCCAGCAAGAGGCAAAGTATATTTTGTAACGGTTGAATATGTTGTTTGATTTGATCTTTGATATTTCATTAGTGAAAACATGTCGTATAGTAAAGATGGGTTGAGTCTCCATCTTATAAAATTTACAATTCCCATCAAGGTTTCGTTTTTAGAAATATTCTTCAATATTTTTCTTATGAAATTTGTAATTTCTATAAATTTATCGCTTTCACGTATAATCTCAAATTTTTTTTTTATAAAATTTTCATTTTTTTTCGATTCATCAATACTGCGTACATTTACTATTCTATCTTCAACATCCATATCCCATAAAGCAATGTAGTTTAAAAAAGACCGGACTCCGGTTGGTTGAATCCGACAAACAGCTGAAATACAATAAGTGATGGTCATTGTATTTTTCATGACTAGTTCTTTTGATTGATGATACTGTTTGAGAAATTCATCGGTAAGAAGGTTACTATTCGAAATTGCGTCAACATTCATTGCACCTGCAAATACGCACGGAAAAAGCCAATCATTATTATCGTAATTCATATCTTCAAATATGGAATCATAATTATTAGACACGATATTAATGAACTGTTCATCGAGAACATTATCAGATTCTCGATCACGGTGATTGTAAATTAACCATATTTCCAATTTTGGGGCGCTATAAACACTCCTTTTCCTACTTCCAAAACGTAAAAGACCATTATTACCATCTTGTCCAAAGTTAGGTATATAACCACAAAAGGTGGATGAACTCGTAATAATATTATTAGGCGAAACAAACCAATCATTAGGTAAAGTTATATTACGAGAATCAGATATTGCGAATATGTCGTACTTAGCATCACACTTAATATTGAAATCTGTAATGACTATTGATGTCTTGGTAGCGTGAAGAATCCCAGAGTACGTTCGTAATTCAGACTTGTGTTCTATTGTGAGAAAATAATGATCCTTGCATTTCGCAATTTCAAGTGTAAGACTTGAACCAAATATGTTGTGATCAGTGTAAAGTATTCGTATACACATTTCCGTAAAATCTCCTGGCATACCATGACGTTTTACAAATCTTACTGCAATTATTGTGAGAGTGTGATTGCATTTTACTGCAAAAACATGGACTTTGCACGCCTCGTTCCAAGGATAAGAGAATGAGAGAAGATGTATCACTTTTTCAGCGGCATCCGACTCTAATGACGTTCCGGGATCATAACAATTATTTGATAAAAACATAAGTTCATATACATTATCTCGAACTATGTCGTTAACAGGACTTTGGTCAGGAGATGTACTCTTTGGTGTAACCGATAATTTATTGTACGCTGCCATGACTTCCCAACTTGCAAAAAGTTCACAATCAACTGCGGAAATTCCTTTTGATATCGTGTCGAAGTATTTTTCAGCTTTACTAACATAATCGTATATTCCAGGGACCGATGAAGCTACTACTCGAATAGCGCCTGCAGAGGGATAAGGAGGAAATATCGCACCAAAAATCAAGAGACCACTTGATTCTGACATACCAACGCTCAAAACCTGGTATCCGTTAAAGGTGGAATAATCGATACTTATATGATCAATAATTTGAAAATTCCATGTGAGCATGATTTGGATATTTATTAAACGATCGTTCGCCGAAATCACAGTAATAACTTCTCCATTAGGAGAAAAACGGCACAAGTACTCATGTTTGGAAGTGACGATATCCTGTTCACTTTCTACTCCTAGCAAAGTACATTCTTGGAACGGATGATAAGTCGGATTTGTCAAATCCCAATAATTTAAAGAACCTTTCTTTGTTGGAAGAGCTACGAGATTATTTCCACCTTTTGATACCCAAACTCTTCGAGACGAGTTATAATTAAAATCTTGGATTGGTAAAGTTATTGTAACATCATTTATCAAATCTTGAATTAAGCTGCGCTCCGAATGATCGCTTTTTATTGCAACATATATTGATTTGTCAAAATAAAGAGGACCTAATAGTTTAACATTTGTCACCGTACGTTTATAATCGCATTCAACGCTCCACTTTTTGACCAATTCCCAATTTGTCGTTGAATATGCTTCAATAGGATAAGATTCTATTGTTCGAGCGGTATTCACTTCTTCTGTACCAACTATAAAGAAATAACGTTCATCATCACTAAATTGATAATCTCTACATTTAAATTGCTGACCTTTCCTTTCCGGATGAACCCAGGTCATAGAACTGCCTTTGTCTTTGATCAACAAATGAAGGCAATGACTATAATCTGATGATATATGTAGAAATAATGTTTCACCATCGTTCATGAGTGAGCCTTCTAGTTCTAGCTTTCCAACTCCATCAGTATCGACTACCGCTACATACTTTTCGTCTACACTCAAAGGAAAGTCACCTTGCCAATTAATACATATTTGATCAAGTTTAAATTGATATACGGTTATTTTAACTGTCGGAGAGTCCTGCATCACATATAAACTGGCAAAATATTCATTGCTTGCAGAAGTAGCAAAACTCAAGGTTGAAGGATTTACGTGGGAACACAATTTCACTTCTAAAGAAGTATTCAAATACGTATCAAATAATTTTTGGTTTACCATATCCGAATTTAACAAAGTGCCTTTTGGTTTAACTCTTCCGACCAGCATGATTTCTTGAGGGCGTGAAATAACAGTATATGAAGGTTCATCAAAATCTATTTCATTATTTTCATTTTTGCTACATTTCCAATCTTCCTTCTGACAAACCCTACTACAATACAACGTTGAGTGTAATTCTCCACTCATATTCTTACCGCATCGTTTGCATGTTTTTTCATTAACTTCCAAACTCATATGAAAAACTTGTATCAGATAATAAAAGAAAGTTATGGTGTAAAGAAGCTTCTAGCTTCTCCGATGAATTTGGGATTGTATTGTTTAAAGTATGTCTTATTTCAAATTGATTCAATTTAAATAATTAATTCCATGATTACGTAAATTGTACACATTAATACTGTTATTGTGGAAATATTTTTAAGGGAGCGAACCCGAATACCATAGAGTGAAACATGAATTTAATTACAAAATAATTATTTATTTAGATCGTTCCAGGGGGAATTTGCAGTTTTTGTAAACAACGAGGCGCAGTAACTAATTTGAAAATTTTTCCCTTGTTGAGGTACAAAATAACTGGTCGATTAAACGCCCAAACATCAAATTAATTCGTTATGTTGTACGCTTATAAAAAAAAAAAAAAAAAAAAAAAAAAAAAAAAAAAAAAAAAAAAACAAAAAAAAAAACAAAAAGATATAAAAAAAAATATTAGTTAAAATTGTGTTAACCAATCATTTAAACAAAATTTTGCATATTATTTTTTTCGTTAATACATTTTGTTTGTTTATTGTTTTCGTTATACATAATATTATATGGCGTTTGTAACATGATATCTGGACGATCCCATCACAAAATGTGGCGTAGTAAATTTAAGTTCGCGCATCATTTATAAGCTTATAAACATACATAACCAATTGTTTTTTTTCGTAACAAAGTCCGAAAAATCCGATTATTCCGAAAATATATTAAAATAAAAAAATTAAAAAAAAAATTAAAAACCATTAGTAATAAATTAATAATAATATTTCTTGGATACGATTCGTTTCGTTAATTTAGTATATTTTTTTTTTTTAGGCGTAATCCGCTGATAAAACAATAACAATAAAGTAAAATTTTTTTTTTTTTGACGGTAAAAAGAAAAAAATTAAGTTGCAATTGTACTTGATATAAATGATAGATTTGAAATTTAGTTAATAATAATAATTTATTATTGAATAAATTTATAAATTTGAAATTGAATCTAATTTAAATCTTACCATGATTTTTTTTTTACATTTTGATATAGCAAGTCAGTGAACGAAAAGTAGAATATAGAATATATGAAAATAGAGTTATACATATTCAATGAAAATAATTTCCTAATTTTGACCAATCGCATATTCCTATGATATCCGATGCTCAAGATGCATCCAATTGCATTACAGGTAATGGGTAAACTATGAAAATCCTGAAACACCACCAAATTTAAGTCGGTCCAAATTTCTGTCAAATTTTTCCGTATTTTATGGGGAATTTGATCGATGTCTAACCAACATTTTATTCAAATATTACCTAACATTTTTTAATTAAATTTTTTTAACTGTTCACTTTTTTCGTAAGTTTATAATTATTAGTACGCTCTTTTTTTACGCCACGTTGGTCGTAATAATTTTTTAAATTACTAAACAAAGTAATCATTAACTTACACACCCCTTTGTTCAAAATAAAGTTTAAAATTTATAAATAAATAATTAAAAAAAAAATAAAAAAAGAAAAAAAAATAATTAATTTGTATTTCACTTAATGATTTATTTTTTATTTTTTATTTTTATTATCCATGTGAAAAAAATAGGATTTATTTATAGAACGTGAATTATTAATCATGATTACTGAATCATCAAAACAGAAAAAAAAATTATCCCATTGCGTTACTTTATATATATCTTTTCTTATAATTGCTTCTTTTTTTCTTTTCTCTTTTTCTCTCTTTTTTTTTCTTTTTTTTTTCTGTAAGACACTTTTTTTTTTGTAAGACATTAATCATTTATTTATTTATGCATACAATACATTTAAAGTGTGTAATACAACGCATATCCAATGTTACATCAGCTGACATGTTATCAGATTTAATTTCGGCCAGAATTAAGATCAGGATCAGCATGATTTAAATATTGCCGATAATATAAAAATTATATGTACTTTTGCGTATGTAATTTCTTCTAAGAATAATAACTTCAATAATCAAATCTTTACACTCATATTTAATTTAAGTTATAATGATGAAAGTTTTTGACTGGTGATACATATCTGATATCGGTGAATCAATATTTTTATGCAAAGATTGTATCACAATCTGATTTTCGTTCATTAAACATTGATAAAATTAATGAAAATTCGTTATAATTTTTCCATTTACGCCATTTACGTATTGTTTTCTGACATGTACACGTGTTCATTAGTAGGGTGAATTCTTGGTACTAATTTTCGTGCGACATAAAATTGACTAGTATCAGTTACACGAATACTCTATTTGCACTAAATAAGGATGATAAAGAAAAAATTTTTTGAGACGTGATCTCCCAATAGTTTTAAGCAATGACATGTTTCATAACTTAAAAAGTATGCATATTATAAAAAACGATATATTTGTTAATGGAACTAGTACAAATTTAGTTCTCTTTTCATTTTTCGAAATATTTTGATTTCATTTAAAAAATTTTTATATGACCGGACGAAAGAAATAGCAAAAAAAAAATATGTATGAATATTTATTAATTGATAAAAAAAAAATTTCAAAAATGAATTATATAAATTTTACATAAATTTGTTAATGTGCACTTAATTTTTTCTTTATTATATTATGTTGATGTATTAAATAAACTCGATATGCGATAAGGACTTAAACAGCGACAGAGGTTATAGTATTGCGTGACACAATCTATTAAAAATTTATTCTATTTGCATTTTGTACCATTCTGTACTGTACATACTGTATAATATTAGTGGACGGATATTTCTCAAAGATTAATAACAGGTCCTAATATCCCAACCAATAATACTTTTATTGGATAGGAAATATCGGTCTCCACCAATATTTTTACCTCTTTCATCCAACAATTACAATATATTAACGAGAAAAACGGAAACCGTTAAAGTCCGTCGCTAATACAAATATACATACATATACATATAAATTTCGATGTAATCATAAAATTATAAATTCAGATATTAATGTCATGTTGAAACGTTGTAAATACTGATATGTAATCTTTATTAGTTGAGATGTGAAATACAGTTATTTTATTAAAATTTTTTCAAAAAAAAAAAAATACTTTGATTTCGATAAATTGCAATTTTATTTTTCTGGGTGATTATTATCCAAAGAAGGAAAGTGCAGGGGCTGAAGGAAGAAAATAATTTAGGGGATAACAACAAACATTTGCTTATGGTTAGTAGCTTTATAAAGTTAGTGTAGGGTAAATCGAAATTTTTAAAAAATCTTTTTTCATGCGTGTGCCGAATTATCACGATCATGATTTTCATACTGCGCATATTTTGTTTGTTACACACTTTTACGCCATATATAAATTAAATAAAGGGGCGATAAAGAACAAATTTTCTTCCCTATAAAAAATGTCGAAGCTTAATAAAGATGTGATAACCCTGATATTAAAAGAATTATATGATAAAGATAATACACTTTATCCATGTCTTTTAGTTAACAGGACTTGGTGTGAAACGACTGTACCAATTTATGGAAGAATCCATTTCGATATCACTTAAAAAAAGATGCACATATCATTATAATTAATGTAATACTTTCATATTTATCAGAAGAATCAAGAGATAATTTGAAGAGTCAAGGAATCAAACTTCCAAAAACATATCAACAACCTTTATTAAATTATATTAGTTTTTGGAAATATTTAAATTTAGATGTATTAGATGTGATAGAGACTTTTGTAACAGATACAAATAATATTATTATTAAACCCGAAATTCATATTTTAAGATTAGAAATCATGAATATATTTAGTAGGAATACAAAATTTTATTTTCTTCGTAGTTTTTCTCATTCTTCCTTTTTTATTTTTGGTACTGAACTTTGTTTCTCAGAACTTGAATCCTTTTGTTGTAATTCTACTACAATCAACAACATTTTAGCAAAAGAATTGGCTATATTAAATACATCTAGTGTTTGGAATCGAATATATTCGAATATACTCGAGTATTCATTTTAATTTATAAAGTGTATTCGAATAATATTCGAATAAGTTAAATTTCCTTTTATAGTAATGATTTACATAATTTTTAGCCTGAATTATGATTTTAACTCAGTTAAATTTAAGGATTTAATGCCCAATTAGAATTTTAACTATACTATATCTGGCTAAATGAATACTCGAATAACCACTATGCTTATTCGAATACTCGAATATACTCGAGTTATTCGAATAACTGCTACATGATTCCAAACACTAAATACATCATTTAAAAAATTGATTTTTGATATTTTATATTATAATCATAATCCTGGTATCATTAAATTAATTGAAGATCAAAAAAACTTAAAAGAAGTTAAATTCATCTATAAATGTTTGCCGATTAATAATGAATCAATTATTAGACCACTTGAAGAGTCACTAATTAAATGCGCTGATACTATTCAATATTTGAGAATAGATTGGAAACCTGTCACAAAATTATTTTCATATCTTGTAAATTTATTAAGTTTAGAAATAAACGCTTTTGGCCACAAAAATTGGAATCATTTGGAAAAGATTTCTTTACCTCTTTTAAAATATCTAAAAGCTCAATTCTTCTCATCTAATATTTTAGCAAGTTTAATTGAAAATACAAAAGGAAATCTTATTGAAATAAGTATTATTTATGATCGAAGTGATGATGAAGGAAGGCTTATCCAGGCAATTTATCAAAATTGTCCAAACCTAAATTATCTTAAATTATCATTGTTTAATGAGAATATTTCAGAATTTGAAAATTTATTAATTAATTGTCGAATTTTAAATGGATTAGAAATTTACAGTACACACGAGGATCAAATTAATTGGAAAATTTTATTTGAAGTATTGATGAGGTCTGCACCAATTAGTTTATTTAAATTTAAATTTATATATTTTTCTATTGATTCTTATCTGAAAATTGATTTGGAATCTTTAAGTTTATTTCTCGACAATTGGAAAGATAGGCGTTCTATGTTATTACAAATCTTTTCATTGGGAGATATGTTAAACGTGGAGCAGAAACGGCAACATCTGCTAAAATTAAAAGATTTTTTACAAAAATATAAAACAAAAGGAGTAATCAAAAATTATGTCACTGATGGGATGGGATTTGAAGATTTTGAATGGATTCAAAGAAAATTCCTTAAAGGAAGATTAAAATAATTGATGGAAAATCGCAATTTAATCACGGAAAATTAGAAAGTTATATGTTAGAACCAAATTTTATTTAGAATATTAGCTTTTTTTTAGTGAATTTATGTTACTTATTGGGTAAAATGTAAATAATAAAATGTTTCAATATGCAGTGTAATACTGTAATTATCAAAAAATTCATAATAAAGTCAGTGAATTGATTCTATGATGCAGTTATAAGTTTAAGCAAATAAACGTTTTCAAACTTCAAAGCATTATGATTGTGTGCGTCACGATGGAGAGTCATTTGAGAATACAGGACCGATATAGCCCCACATCCAATAAAAACGTTTTTGATCATGCATTAATTAATAACGTCATAAATAAGCTTTCTACAAATTTCATTTTTATGCTATTTTTAATCCACTTTATAAGCTTTATTTAAACTTTTCCTACAAAATATTCATTTACACCATATTTTTTTACTCCACTTTATTATATCAATCATGTGTTATTGCTATGCCTAATAAAAATATTGGTTTACGAAAATCTGCATGATTCTATTAGGCTGAACAATAACATTATTTATACGAATTACGTCGTCCTAGTATATAAATAGAGGGTAGTAAAGGCAAATTTATATTCCCTTTAAAGATGTTAAAGCTTAAGAAGACATGAATTTCCTATTATTAGAAGAATTATTTCTTAGTTAATTTGTGTAAAACAACGGTACAATTTTATGGATGAACCCTGCTAAATATGCTCACTGGGTTGGTTCCGAACTGATACTATTGAAAAAACTGAGTTGAATAGAGTCAAACTGAAAAACCGTTTCGGTTTCATAATCAGTTTTTGTCGCTTCGGTCCAATCCGAGTCAGTATGTATCAAAATTTATTAAAATCGATTTGAAACCGATGCACCAAACCGAATGGAACGACGAACTTTTTCCATCCCCATCTAGTCTCTATCCCTATCTAATCGACAGAGCATATAATATTTTATTTAATGTTATATCTTTATACTGTATGTCTCCGTAAAAAGAGCAATACTCTGAATTTTTAAATTGCCTCATGACTTTTGATAAGTGTAAACGACCCTTAATTAATTTAATTATATTAGATTTTGGAGAATTCTGGATATTTTTATTTCAGGACGAAAAATCCATAGGAAATGAAGCATGTCACAAAATTTCTTTCATATTTATGAATAATGGCTTCACTGAGAAAAAGTGCCTTTACCTCTTTTAAAATATCTAAAAGCTAAAATGATTTATCTTGAATTTATCGAATAGTTTGGTGAACCTATTTGGGTGAGCAGGATGGTAGATAGTTCTTTTTGAACATAAAATCTTAAGTCCCTAATAATATTATAGTATAGTTCGATCGTGTTCTTTACTAAATGTTATATAATGTAGATCTTTTCCTTTTTTGTAATTTTTCTTATTTCTAAATNAATGTAGATCTTTTCCTTTTTTGTAATTTTTCTTATTTCTAAATAAAGTAATATATTTGACTTCGTTAAAAAAAAAAAAAACTAATATACTTTAAATATTCATTTTGTAAGTAAAATGCATTTCCCCCCCTTATTTAATCACATTAACGGCAACTTTTTTGTTACACACTGTATTTTAAAAGAATTTCTCAATACAGATTAGTGCATTGGAAAAACATGGCCTAAAAAAATTGTGTAACTTCTTTTTTGGTTAGAATATTCCTTTTTAGTAACTCAATGACAACCTTTGTCGAAAAAAATTTGTCTAGAAAGAACAACAATTTTTACAAATAAATTTCTAAAATAACAAAATGGAAACTGAATTCAGCAACTTAAATATCTCAGATAAAGATACTGATACAGTAAACACCAAAAATTGTATATATTGCAATATACCTTTTATTGAAGAGTTATGGTGTAAAAAATGCATTAATTCTTTAGAAAAATTAGCAGAAAATGGTGATAAAGAAGCAATGTTTACTTTAGCCAATCATTATTATAATGGGAAAGGAACAGAGAAGAAGAATTTAGAAAAAGCCTTTTATTGGTTTCAAAAAGCAGTAGAAAATGGTTTTACTGGGGCAATGAATAATTTCGCGATATGTTATAAAAATGGAAAAGGTACAGAAAAGGATTTAGAAAAAGCCTTTCATTGGATTCAAAAAGCAGCAGAGAATGGAGATGAAGAGGCAATATTTGATTTGGCCAAATGCTATTATATTGGAGGAGGAACAGAAAAGAATTTAGAAAAAGCCTTTCATTGGTTTCAAAAAGCAGCAGAAAATGGTGATGAAAAAGCAATAATTATTTTAGCCACATGTTATCATATTGGAAAAGGAACTGAAAAGAATTTAGAAAAAGCAATTCATTGGTATCAAAAAGCAGCAGAAAACGGAAATGAAGAAGCAATGTTTGATTTAGCCATATGTTATGATAGTGGAGAAAGAACAGAAAAGAATTTAGAAAAATCCTTTTATTGGTGTCAAGAAGCAGCAGAAAATGGTGTTAAAGAAGCAATGTTTGTTTTAGCCATATATTATATAAATGGAGAAAGAACAGAAAAAAATTTAGAAAAAGCCTTTCATTGGTTCCAAAAAGCAGTGGAAAATGGTAATGAAAATGCAATGTTTAATTTGGCTAAATGTTATTATAATGGAGTAGGAACAGAAAAGAATTTAGAAAAAGCCTTTCATTGGCTTCAAAAAGCAGCAGAGAATGGAGATGAAAAGGCAATATTTTATTTGGCTGAATGTTATTATAATGGAGTAGGAACAGAAAAGAATTTAGAAAAAGCCTTTCATTGGCTTCAAAAAGCAGCAGAGAATGGAGATGAAGAGGCAATATTTTATTTGGCTAAATGCTATTATATTGAAAAAGGAACAGAAAAGAATTTAGAAAAAGCCTTTCATTGGTTTCAAAAAGCAGCAGAAAATGGGGTTGAGGATGCAATGGTTATTTTAGCCAAATTCTATGAATATGGAGAAGGAACAGAAAAGAATTTAGAGAAAGCCTTTTATTGGTATCAAAAAGCAGCAGAAAA